CTTCAAAAAGCTTTATGGCTTATGGAAACTTACTGTTTAATGTTGTTTTTTTCCGGGAAGACTGGCAGGTCAGTTCCTGCTTGCTGCTGAAACTGGGGAAATGCAAGCAGCTTGTGTTTCTGCGTGACTCCTGCACAAAGGGAATCAGGACAACTCCTCAGAGCCATTGAGAGAGAAGATAATCTAAGGGCATTCATTAACTTTTTTAAACAAAATAAAAAAAGTGGTAATGAGGTTCAGTTTATTAAATATTTATCATGTGTGAGAAGGACAATAAATCTTGAATTTACATTTATAGGCCTTCCCATGAGCTGGAAGTCATGTAGATTGTGTAAGTAGGGTTACCTCCATGCCAGCTGCCCAGCCAGCTACAGCTGTAACCAGAAAGGTATCCGCACTGCTCTGTCCACCTCCGCTTTGCATTGTCATGTGTTAACTAGTTACTTGTTTCATGAAAAATAAACTGTGAATATTTTTGGTGCAGGCTTTTTTAAATCTGTAAAATGGAGAAGTTCTCAATGAATTCTCGTAAGTGCAGGTTTGAAAAAATCACTTCTATAAATTGTGTGCTCACGTAGCAAGGTGAGGTTCACAGCAGCAGCAGCCTTTCACACAGCAGGCTCTTACCCAAAAGCTTCTTTTGAACAGCGAATGTGGATTGAACTGTTGCATGGCATTTCAAACCCACAGCCTTATTCCTTGCATCTGACCATACCCCACCTTTCTTCTTGTCTCTCCCTTCATGCCTTTTTCATGAGGATCCAGGTTCCTGGCTTGCTGCCTTTGAGCTGCGTGCTGGAAAGTTGACTTCAGCATAGCTGGGAGGCTGCTCAGTAAAGTTGGTGTTTGGAAATGTTGAAGGAGGAAGCCAGCAAGCTGCTCTTCCGTCCTCAACATTGTTGGGCCCCTGGGCGATGCTCTGTCAGATCAGGAGGGCTTTTCAGATGTTTGCGGGGCTGGCAGAGGGATAGTGGTTCTGTAGGAATGGCTGGCTGTGCTCTGGGTCACCTCAGTACGATGGGCAAGGCCTGACCAGGTGTGGAGATGGGTCTTGGCAGCCCTTCCCTGCCCAGCCTGCCTTCATTGGCTGTGAGTGTGGGCTACAAAAGAGCTCTGGGCAACACAACCCTCACGAAATAAATGTGGGCTTCTTCAGCACTGGAGGTGACTCTGGCTGTTGGTGGCAACTGGTAGCACTGCCTTGGAGGAGGAGAGGGAGGCAGCTGTACCGAAGCAGTTGGGTTCATTTTCTGTAGTTCATTGCTGCCTTCAGAGTTCAGCCAATTTGAATCACTGGGGTTTTTTTTAATGTAGAGGAAAGTGGCAAGTAACACATAACCCTGGTAGGCCCCTCCTGCTCCGCTCTGGCCTCCTTGAGTGCTTGCGCTGGGCTGGAGCTGGCTGAGGAGCTTGGCCAGCTTTGCTGTGGCTTTGTGGCCAAGGCCATGGCGCTTCGGAGGGATCCAATCACCTGGCCACTAAGGGTCTTGGGTCTGGCATCACTGCACCCAGGGTGGGGGAGAGGTGACTCTTGTGTTGATCCACTGTTGCGGAGAGTTGCAGAAGCCGAATTAAAGGTAATCGTTATTTCTGCTCAGAGCCTGTGCCCCTTTCCGTGCCATTCCAGGGAGGCTCACAGGAACTTCCCAGGCTCACGGGCCATTCCTCCTTGGAGGAATGGCT